TGCACTCTCAGAGGTTGGAGGTTGCAGTCGAAGTCACAGCCATTTCGCTTCTCTATCAAGCTTCGATTTGTTTTCTTCGGTTTCGGTTGCTTCGTCCTCCGGGTTTGGCACCGAAAAAAGACCCAACCCGCCTAGGAAGCCCGCCCAGCCGCCTAGCGCCCGCCTAGGCCGATTTTTCGAACACTGCGATTGACTGAAAGTCTGAAACCTGAAATTGAAAAAATTTGGCTGCAAATTTGAGCTTGAGATTGAGATTGGGAAGCCGAAGCAGTGAAGCACAAGTCAAGTCCATAGAAGAAGAGATCATGAGACTCTTAATTCATCTAATTCCATTCCTCTCCTTGTTTCCCACTTTATTCTCTTCTCTCTTGGCTCTCTCCCAAACGACATGTTCAGCTCACCCCACCAATGACATCGACAACAATTCATCCCTCTGCCAACTCCGCCTTATTCTCTTCTCTCTTCGCATTGACGGCATGGCGCAGAAGAAAAAAATACAAAATTTGCTGGCTTGGTGTCTGTCTTCAGTGGAAGGAAATGATGAAGCTATCCTATCATGGAGTTTCTATGGTCTTGCCAATAGCAAGGTTCGGTTTTTAGGCCCCAATCTCAAATTATGACTATTTATTTCTGGTTTGATTAAGCAATAGATTGATTGGTTTGGTTCTTCTTTCTTGAAACTTGATAAATCTTTATGCATTCGATATTCATCCATTGATGGTTCTTCATGGTTTGGACTGCTTTTCATTCTTTGGATATTGCATTTCTGTTATAGATTTTGACATTTGATCATGCCCTCTTGTTTGCTGAGAGAAAAAAAGAAGAAGAAAGATTTGTCTCCTCCTCCTGTTGCATAGGAACCCAAAACCAACCCACCAAAGAACAGAAAAAAAATATTGAAATATTACACCACCTCAAGTGAAAAATCTAATTCATTTAAGCCTTTATATTTGTTCTTGTATCAGCATCTGTGTTTCTGTTATGTGAACTCCACCTCAACTTCAAAGAAAAAAAATAAAAAAAATTAGAGGGTGCTCCCCTTGGTTGCTCTTATGTCTTCGTCAGAACCAAAGGCTCCTCTTGGTTAGCAGAATTCAAAGGAATATGGTTCCAGTGACCATCTAGTAGATGCAACTTTGCCTGCTACTGAAGTCAAATCATCAGAACTGAGTATAAGGAATGGTACAAATAATCTTCACTATTATTATCAACAGTGTCTTCTGCATCACGATTCTCTTTCTCTGTTTTAATGAAAGTTTGTAACTTAAATTTGAGTTTCTTATAAAAAGAAAAATTGTAAATTGCTCTTATTGTAGAGTTCATGCAATAGAATTTGGTTACTAAAAGTGTTGCGACAGACTTATTGTATCTACTCAGCTTTTTTTGTTCAAAATATTTTGGATGTGTTATTAAAAGTGTGAAGATAGCATTTTATTCCTTATCTCAGTTATAGGAGAGACAAAGACTTCCGTCTCCTTGTGTGTTTATAACTTATAAGGCTGATCAGAGGTTAAAAAGTAAAATCCAAACATGAAGGAATGAAAAATTGTTGGAACTAGAAAAGCATGTGCATATTTTATTCGAGATATCCACATGAAGGAATGAAAAAGTGTTAAAACAACATGATTTCCCAGAATTGAATATATTGTAAATGCAACAATTTATAAGATTACAACTCGCCAAAGGCTCTTGCCAATAAATTAAAGGGAAGCCTGGGGTCAGGACTTGCAAAATGCATTGAGTGTTTCGTCCAGGGCCTTTCTATCGTAATCACCTGTGAAAACACAATTGCCCAAAGGACCTTTCAAAAGGATGAGCCTTAGTAACCCATCAGCTACCTTCTTATCACCCTGCCATACCAAAAGAAGACAGACACATTAAGAAATAAGCAAAGAAGTTATTCAGCTGTTTCAGTAATCTTACAGGCTCATCCTCTTACCGCCATTACAGATCTGAACATCTCCACCGTCACGGATTCAGGAGGGGCAATAGGTAACTTGAACTGCTTGAAAATGTTGTTAGCTCGCTTCACAAGTGATTCATCGATCCAACCAAGGCGGTATGACATGTCAACAGCCATAACCTAAACATATCACACAAGCTCTTTGAACATTGAGGAATGCTTTTGTGAGGGAACCAAGAAATGAAAAAGTAGAGGGTGATTACCATGCCAGCTGCAACAGCTTCCCCGTGGAGCCACTGCCCATAGCCGACCCCAGTTTCTATTGCCTGAATAGACATGGCAGAACATGCAAAAGATTTAATTAGATAGGGCATCTAGCAGAGTATTCCAAAATATAACAAAAGGAGAATATCACATAATAATACAAATGCTCGCAAAACTTTCACAAAATAAAAAGAAATTAGCCTGGACAATCAAGTGTTCAAAACCAAAACTCACATGGCCAAATGTATGACCCAAATTCAGTGTAGCCCTCAGTCCACTTTCCTTCTCATCCAAGGACACAACCTCAGCCTTGTTTTCACATGAGCGCTTTATAGCATAAGCCAATGCCCCTGGATCCCTGCAATGCACCAACTATACTCATCAACATAACTAATCTAAAATGCATCCTTTGCAAGAACAATTAGTCATGAAGCTTCAACAGACTAGAAAAGAAAAAAAATGGCTAGACTATACATATTGTTAAAGGCCTAAAGTCATGAGCACTAGCTCTGACAAAATATTCTCTTGGTTTTATGTCCTGTGACACTTTTCATGTCAAATAGACCACAAATCATGAGAAATATGCAACACGGTACTGGGTCTGGAAATTTTTCATTGGTCCTTAGTGTGAATTTTATACCTCGACATTAAAGCCTGAATATTCCTCTCCTGCCATTCAAAGAATTCTGCATCCCTAATCAGCCCGTACTTGATGACCTCAGCAAACCCTGATGCCAGTTCCCTCTCTGGCAATGTGTTTAGTGTGTCTGTGTCTATAAGCACACATTGGGGTTGGTAAAAAGCACCAATCAAGTTCTTCCCAAGAGGGTGGTTTATACCAGTTTTCCCCCCAACAGAAGAATCAACCTGCAAGTCGACCAACATAAAAATTTGATGCATGAGAAATTCTGAGATAAATGCATGATTCATAAAAAGGAAAGAAGTAGCTAGTGACAGACCTGTGCCATAACAGTTGTTGGAATCTGAATGAAATTAACACCCCGAAGGAAAGCAGCAGCTGCAAAGCCACACATGTCACCAATCACACCACCTCCAAGGGCAACAAATGTACATCTTCGGTCCAGTCTTGACTCAATAGCCTTGTCAAAAACTTTCATAAGAGTATCCTACCAGTTCAAAGAACACAGTTACTCATAATGCAACTGCCAAAATACCACCTTATAGACTAAACTTTAAACAAGCATTTGGACACCTACCATGTTCTTATATTTCTCACCATCTGGTAAAATCACGCTCTCAACCGACACATTTGGGTTATCTCTTGTCAAAGCTTCAACAACTTTATCCAAGTACAATGGCCCAACTGTGTTGTTAGTGACCACAAGAACCTTCTTTCCATGAACATGCCTATATTAAATTAATAATCAACTATGAGCACCCCGGTATCCACGAAACCAAAAGAATTAAAAACGCTAACTTTCAAAGAAAAACGAAAGCTTGCCCTTTTACTAAAGCCAATCACTCCATGTAAAAATATTAAAAGTTCAAATCTTAATTTCTCACTTCGTATATAATTCTGTCAGCAAATCTAAAGCGTCAGCATTAAGAGATGATAGAACCAGCATTTCTCCGAAAACTTACTATCATAGAAAGCTGCTAGCTTGCCCTGTTACTAAATCCAATCACTCCAAGTACAATTTTTTAAATTCACAAGTTTAATTTTTCATATTCTTATACATTTCTCTCAGAAACTGAAAACATTACCAGTTCACATAATCAATTTCAACAGAATTTTAATACACCAGACCTACAAAATGTTAAATTATGAGCATTTAAAACTTTTAAGAGCAAGCTAAGAATCGAAACCTCTGAAGAAGTTCGGGCTGATCGAGAAGTCCAGATCCGATGTAAATTGGGTAGCTCCGACTACCCAAATCGACGTCCACAATGGTGGGAGCCACAGGACCCGTTTTACTTGGCGGTTGATCAACCACCTGCGCCGAACTCGCCATAATCCTCGACGTCGATCTCACTCGACTTGCTCTCAAAGCCGAGTTCCCGCCCCGAGTGAACTCAACGGAGCTCTGCGAAACGAACGAAGACCGCAGAGAAGCGGCTTTAGAGCTCTGAACCCGAAGAGATAGCTCGGCCGAGTTGTTGGGCGTGAATACAGAAGCTTTCAGGGTCGGCTTGGAAGAGATGGAGATAGAGAATGGGTTGGCCGTGGAAGCCATGGACTCGGGTGGGGGTTCGGGTTGGTTGGAGATAGAGGAGAGGGTGGTGATTTTGCGTCTGGTTCTGGTGTGATAAAGAAGTGGGGCATTGTGTTGTGCTGAAGAAGGAAGAAGATGTATTGTGGCGGGGTAGGTGAGTGGGAGGGAGAGATTGATTGGAGGCCGCCACGAGATGGACCGACCAGTAGGTCCGATTCGAGGAGTTCGCGATATGAACATGGACACTACTTATCGTGAGAAATTAACAAATTCGTGATAAGTTAACGAGTGAGTTTTGCTTTGCATGGTATTTTTGCTTTTTTTTCTAAACTGCTTGGCCATTCGTGGGCTTTTAAAGGGCTTTTATAATTCTTACCTAATTGGGTTTTAATTGGAACTTCTCTTTATTCAATTATGTTTTGGGAATTTCTTGTTTAAGTGGGATTGAGAATTCTCTTGATAAAAAACCAATTTAACATCACCCAAAGTGTGTGTGCATCACAAGAGTCCTGCATTTTTTTTTCCTTCTTGAGTCTTTTTTTTTTTTTTTTTTGGTTGAGCTTTTAGCTTTTAAGAATTCCACCTCCGCTGAAAAATTCCTAGGTCCGCCGCTGCTGGCCGTTGACTATGAATTTCCAATCGATGAATCCGACGGCTCCTAACGTAGACTTACGAATTTGCTACTAAAAATCGATGCACCGGAGCATTACCGCATTGGCTTCTCCTCGACGCCTTGCCATTCTCACAGTACAACAAAATGTGACAAAACCCCGCGAATTTTCGAACCCGCGAAACCAAACCTCTCTTCACTGCCAGTGACACTCCACCCAAAATCTGGCATTTCAAGCTTTAATTTTTGTTCACTCTGTTTCATTTCACATTCAAAACGCAGCGTTTAGTCTCCGAAGTACTTCGAAATCTTCCTTCTTCAACGATTTAGGGTTGTGCATCTTCTCGAGCTATGGAGCTTCGAGCTGGAGGGATCATCGTCTGCACAAAACCCTAGGAAATTGAGTTCTTTTTTTTTTTGTCTTTGTGATGGGGAAGAGGAACACTGTGGTGGTGTTGTCATCGGACGAAGAAGATAGAGATCGTTCATCGAGCGCCAATCGGAGATGTACACCGACCAAATTGACCTCTACGGTTCCGCGCACAAACCCTAGACGATCCAAAAGGGCTCGTGTTTCGAGTTCTCGCGCTAGCTTGGGCACAGTACCAAGTAATTGGGATGAGGTAATTTGTGAATTTCTTTTTTGTTTAGTATCTATATACTTAATCGAATATGCAGCCTACGACAGTAAAGATAAGTTTTATGCAATTTAAGCGAAATGGTTTTTTATGCAGGTCAAGCTGTTCTGTGAAGATTTTGACGAAGTGTTTAGTGGGTTCAAGGTATCTGCTGGTACGCCATTGATGTAACTATAGTTTTTGTTCTTCATGTGCTGGTTTCCTTTTTGTTTACACTCAACACTGGTTTCATTGCTTCCATTTGCCTCTGTAATCTCTGTGGCTCTGACAATGTTGATTTCTGTTGGTATTTTATCGTGTGCTATTATGGTTACAATTTACAACTGATGCAATAAAATTGGCCACAGCTAATATTACTAATTCTTGAAGTGGGTAATACCTATAATAATTGTGGAAGCATGAATCAGGTTCTGGAAGAAGCAACGTGAAGGAGTTATGGGTCGATAAATACAAACCCCGTTCTTTTGAGGAGCTCGCTGTTCACAAGAAGAAGGTTGACTTTATTGGCTTCGTTTTGTAAATAATGAATATCTGATTACCAGATTGATCCTCTTTCTTATTCCATCTTTGTCTTTGTAATTGCAGGTGGAAGAAGTTAAGTTGTGGTTTGAAGAAAGATTAACAAGTTCAAAGGTTATTATATTTTTCATTGATCCTTTCCTTCAAAAGACTATCAGCAAGTCCAATT